ATTTTTTTACGAATATTCTGTAAGAACCGATCTTTTGGAATTAGGGACGCGCTAACAAAAATCGATGAATGTTGCAGTTGTTCACATATATTGTGCCTTTTTTTTTTAAATATTTTAAGATTTTGTTCTTTTGAATTTGCTAGTGATTTACACTGAAAATTTGTCATCACTTGTTGCAGGTCGTATTTGGTCTAAAATCATAAATCAAAATGAAACTAAGGTTCCTTTTCCATAAGATTATTGCTCAAAAAACATTAAAAATGAAACCCCATTACCTCAAGCGCTGATGGGTGCCCCAATTCTTGAAATTTTATCAAAATAACTTCCCAAATCTCAATAAAGATCATTTTTTTTATTTCCCCATAAACCATGGAGTTAAAGAGAATCTTCTGCATTTATACTTTACTCCAATTAACCTGCAACAAGATATGAGTATATAATTTCATGGTTTAGCTAAATCCCACAAAGGATTTAAGAAAAGAGAACCTTAAAGAGAAAATTTTTACTCAGCAACAATCATCAATCTGCATCTGAAATCCCAAAAAGAAGCAAAATGAACCATAAAGAGAGTTTTTATCCAACTACAATCAATCTGCAACCAAATATGAGTACATAGTTTCATGTTTCAGCAATATCCCATAATAGGTATAAGAAAAATGAACCTTAAAGAGTCGAAACCAGAGCTAAATAGAAGTGGTTTTGAAACAAATCTCAAACTTTTTGGAATTATCATAAGTTTGTGGCCTAAAAAGAAGAAATCTTCTATTGGGGCTAAAGTATAACTCACCATATTTTTAGTAAAATGCTCAGACATGGATGGACTTGCAGTCATATCTTTTCTATTTTTCCCACTAAAAAGGCAAAAAAAGAACAGCAACGAAGAAATAACAGAAGCATCTGTTAATTAGGGTAGTCCATAACAACCCACTACCTTGTGAATTTGAGAAATCTCATCTCTACAATGAGACTTCCAAAGTCTTAGCATATATTTTCACGATAAAGGCTGATCAATTATGTAAATCAGGATCAACCCTTCTATGGTTCCATCATCAATTAATTTCATTCACATAGTAGCCCAGAATTGATACGCCAACAAAAATACAACTAAAAATGGCAGTGCAAATACAACTAAAAATGGCAGTGCATTAGATTTCTTGTGAACACAAAAATGTCTATGAGCCAACAAGTTTGTCGTCTAATTTGGGGAAAAGGTCTTGTTTGCTTAAGACCACCATTTTACTCTTGTGAGCAAAATACCGTTTGAAAGGTTCTTGTAAATCAGGATCGCCATTATACACTCGACCTGCACAAGCATTGAACACCATATGGTGCATGTAGAGCATATCGACAGGCATAAAATGGAATGCCGACAGCACCTCTTAGCAAACATCAACCTGTTTTCTTCTATTGCAGATTGTTTGTCCTAAAATATTTGACACCATGCATATAAACGTTCGCATTCATGTAAATATATATATTTTTACTGTTATAAATATATAAACTTGCTAAAAGAGAAGTTGGCCGTGGATAATTTGCTAAAGGTCGGTATTGAAAAAATAATTTTACTAAATCTGAGATTAGATTATATAGGATTGGAGAACTATCAAATTAGAAATTACCTCATCAACACCCATGTCCATTTCGAGCCATTCCAATGTTTTAACAAGAATGTCCAACTTAATTTTGTGAGCTTTATTTGGATCCATCTGCTTTTGAAGGATATAGTTGCAACAAGTACACATTATACATTTAATCTGGATACTAAGCCCAAGGTCACAAATATAAAGGCCTACTGATGATCTCCACTTACATTTTCTTAACTAACCGTTGCTAGACTTGGAGCTATTGATATATACCGGAGGAAGATGAAGACCAAAACCAAGTCATGGGTACAACCAACGACCCAAATTGATGGCAGTCTCATTAGCAGAAAAATCAATCCACTGCTCAAGCTGCCCCTGCCAACAACAATAAATGAAGAAGGAATGTAATGCAATGTTAAGCAAGACTATAGAGCCTGCGATAGAATAGATTCAAGCAAGGAAAACAATAGGATCTGAATATGTCATGTCCAACAACCAAATATCAATCGGTCACATATTCAATTGAGGAAGATCCATAGAAGCGGTTATCGGGCTTCAATCTAGGCACTGTATATATCAGATAACAATCATGTCAGCAACAAAAATGTTGCAGTATAGAATAAAGGACAAAGCTAATCAGGAGTTCTGGAAAAAAAAAAAATATGCATAATTCAAGGGGAATAAAACTTACCAATGGCAAAGGCGATTTTTCTCTCAAGCCATTGTTAAGCTCATACCAACAACTCAGGAAAATACGCATAAATACATAGCAAAAAAAGGAAAAACATTGGGCTGAACAAAACTTACCAATGGGACTCACAGTCGCGCCTCTCTCAGTCGGAAAGAGGGGCCGTTTGTCGTCGTTTGACCCATCAGAATCCTTTGTCAATTATCTATATATATATATATCTCAATCTTGTTAAAATTTTTCTGATAAATCTATACTGAAAGTGAGAGAACCTTTTCACTCTCAGATTTACCTATTTTTATCGTGTTCCACTTTGCAAATTGGTTTAAAACTCTGAAATTCAGGAAGTTGGGATTTCACCACTACCATGTGAATCCCGCTTTGTCAAACATTTCATTTACACACATGCTTTTTGAACAATCATTTACTTTCACGTAGATGTTACCTGTTTTACTTGTATTTTTGAGCATTTTCTTGCATTTGTCCGTCTACTGAAGTAATAATACGTTTAAATGGCAGGTGTAAGAGAAGGTTGATCTCTACTGATACAAGTATTGCTTAGTTTTCGCCGCTCCAAGTATTGCTTAGTTTTCGCCGCTCAGGAGCACGACCAATCGATAGAAAATATTGATGGATATCATATAATGAGAGAGAAAGGACAGTAGAGTCGTGCAAAATGGCGTGTAAAGAAAGCAAAACTGATGTCAATCCCTGTCATAGTAGAATTACCATAATGACTCCAACAGTTCCTGGTGACCTAATCCATTAAAAAACAATAATATGTAAAAAAATCAAACGACAAATTGAAATTTGAATCAAGGTAGAACAGAAAAAATAATAGCAAGAATAATTGTGATAATAAACGTTACACAAGTGGAAAAAGTGAAAACAAGATAGTAAGGGCGTACTTGGATACAAATATATCCGCTCAAAATAGGTTTTTTTGGTGAACCAGAGTTAATTTGATAAAATGTAGTATGATTAGTTGCTAGTGAGATAAAATAATTAAAATTAGTTTGATGTAAAAGTATGAGAGAGATGATGAGAAGTGATTGTTAGTTGAAATTATGTGAATTGATGAATAGTGAATTAAAGTTGATGTTATGTGTAAGAATGATTGATTGATATTATTTAATTATGTTGATAATATTGGAGATAGTGGAATTGGGTTAAAGTAGATTAAATTTTGAGTATGCATTGAGTTTTTTTGTATCTAAACACATCCAAAGTGATCGGGTGTAAACAATAGGTGAAAATCTCAGAAGCCGTCATAATTTTAATAAGTAGAACCTAACTAAAGTGGATTGGCAAATATAAGTTTCTGAAGTTCAAACTTTAAAATTATTTTAGAGTATCCCATCTTTAATGAGCGGAATTTCAAGATTCACAAAAATTATTAGCCTGCTCAACACCGACTTAAATGCCGACTACATATGTTCTTGTATAAACTGTATAAGCTAGAGAAAGCTGGACTTACATCTTCTTTTTCCTCTCTCAACTCATGAAGCCGCTCTTCCTCGAGCCATTTGGCTTGCTCAGCAAGCTTTTTATTGTAAGCACTTGTAACAAATTTATCTTTGTCAGCATAGAGGTCTTCATCCTTGCTTCTCTCTTTGGCAAGCTTCCTCTCATATATAATCTTGTGCTCTTTTTCTCGCTGTTTAGCCTTATCCATTAAGGCTTAAATATATCTGGGCTGCAAACAAGTTGCAAATGATATGCAGTAGTGCTAAAAGATGGTGACGTTGATTACTCAGATAAATCAAAGAGAGAGGCTAATAAAATGCCAAGAAGAGTTGCAAACACAGCTATTAAACATAAAGATGAAGATCGGTAATATCTCAAACAACAAATTTTGCTTAACCTTGAACCTTGTTTGAAATCATTGCACCCAAAAGTGAAATACTTTGATCAATTATAATTTGAAACAATTACTTACAATGAAAAAAGTAATTATAAGTTTGACTGCAGATGAATCTTAATTTCAAATTCCCCTTTGTCGCACAAATTCTCGTGTGAAAACATTGTACGCGTGCATATGGGGACTAATACAAAATATCCAACTAAGGACCTATGTCCAAGGGTCCGTGTTTATAGCTAAGGGCGCCAATGATGTGGGCTCATTATCACATTTCACAATAATTCGAAAAGTTTACGTTCTAACAGTTGCATTTTCATTCAGAAAAGTATAAGTATTCACATTATAACTAATTTTATAACCTTTATACACCAAACTATATTTATTTTCTAGTGAAGGTAATTATTCACTTTGAGATGCATCGTTCATAGTACATCTTTTCTCAAAAGAATTGTAACAAAAACAAACTTCACAACTACACTAATGTAATTTGTCAAGTAGCAAAGAAACCATTACTTTACCTTTCTATCTTGTCGATCCTGCTCAATGGGGCGAACTTGTTTCTCCTTCATCTTATCATACACCCCATCGTAGTCAAACGCCAAAGGGTCTTCTTCAAGTGCCTTCTTATGCTGCTCCTCAACCTATTAGGAATGGCAAAGATAAATACATAAAGAAATATTTTGTTTTGAATCCATCAAAAGAATAAATTCAATAAATAAGGGAGTAGATAAACAATTTGAGAGAGAAGGGATGAGGAATAAACATCTCTGTGAGTTTTGTTCTTGTAGGCCTGGCGCAAAATATCTCTCTCAACATTATCTTCATCCTCGTCGTTAAACCCAAGTGGGGTGGGTAGTGGGGGTCTAGTTGGCTGTTTTTTCTGTTGGGGTTGAACCCTAAGTTGCAACCCATACTTCTTCATTTCCTTTTATTTTTTCTCCCCTCTTTGATTTCTTAAACCTGAAAGAGGACCTATAAATTTCAGTGTTCAATCAAAACAGAAGCATCATAATATTCCGAATCTCCCCGCCCCTTCCCCAAAAAAAAAATCGAGCAGAATCTTGTCAGGAGATAAAAATATCATTCTTTTCACAATGAAAATTTAACCAGTCCAACCAAGAAAAAGTTTCCTGATGCAGAGGCTAGAATGTGAGTGGATACACCAATTCACCTACAACTGCAGGAACACAAATCAAAAGTCACCTAAAAAACCTCAAAAACTCCAAAACTAAACAATTGCGTGAAAATTCGAGATAGTAGAGTGAATAGAACTACTCTTCATACTTCTAAGTTGCTCGTCCCCAGACATATGGCTTCTCCATGAATCTGAGGGCGTGCTTCTACAAACAGATTCTTCTCACAATTCCTCGCCGCCATTTTGTAGACTCGATTGAAGATAAAGAATCGCCAGGACGCCGTCCATCACAGCGGGAACGTACATCTTAACCATTGTTTCCGGCGCGTTGGTCATCCCTAAGAAAGTGCCGCTGGAGCGCCGTACACCCCATCGGTGCCTTCGATTCTGTTAACCATCATCACCCTCTGTGTAATCAAATCCAACAAGCATAGTGAACTCCTTATCCCCTATGCGATTTCGTCTCTAATTTAGAGAGCGAAAAAAAACTGAAGATAACTGGGAAAAAAAAAACAGATGGCGAGCTTTGGGTTCTGGCTGGGGAACCGGTTGAAGGGATTTCGGCCATGGAGGAGGAAAACACCGACCGATGAGGAATTTGGGTTAGTCTGTAGAGGTTAGGTTTTAGATTGGAGAGCATAAGATGGTCTTTCTTCAATCTGAGGGTCCTCCTTCAATTTCTTTAGTCGGTGTAGGTAGCGTGCGAGTAAAAATGGGAAAAGTGTTTGTCAGACGCGACGTGAAAAATACCACTGATTAAGAATTATGTTACATTAACACCACAAAATAATTGACCAAAATAGCCCCTAAATTATAGTTCAAGAAGGGTTAAAAAAGGGCTTTACAACAACAAAAGTGGACACATGTCACCTTCTAAGGCACTCAAAATGGACACGTGTCGGCTTTTAAAGCACCCTAACTTATTCATATAAGATATAAGAGAGATATATAGAGAGAGAGATTATTCTCATTTCTTTTAACAACAACAACGTACAAAAGAAATAACAAACCAATATGAATGTTATATAAGTTATATATAACATATGTAAGATATGGAAGTACATTTTTTTTTCACTATAATTGATGTAACAAATGCATCAACTCAAACCAAAGTGAGTAAATTACAGGAATAGAATAATACGCAAAAACATTTAGCTATTTATTCTTATTTACCATCACAAGTTCAAGAACATGGTACTACATTAACATTTAGTCCCAATAATATTTTTTGACATAACCAGTCTCATTTAAGTAGGAAAAAAATATACCTTCACTTCTTACAGACCAAAAATTTGTTAACTTGGATGGTTTAGTGAATTTTTGGTGAAAAGCATCGAATAACTTTTGTTTTGATCCCCACCATAAATGACAAAAGAACAATGTTCTTCCAAAAAAATGCTCACAAAATGACCAACTAAAATCTTTTTCAGTAGTAAGATTGTGGTATCCGAGGTCATCGTCTTTTGACTGACAATGCAATGTTAACACTGGAGATTTTGCAGGGAGATTGTTAATGACAGACACATGGATCCAACTGCTGAATGCACATAGCTTGCTCTCCGAAGTTTGTAAGATAATGACGAACACCAAAATGACGAAGCCGAATACCATCATACTATTTGCCATTGTTGCCAGATATTTGTCAAGTGTAATTTCTTAACCAAATGGATCTTTTATACTTGATGGATTGAGCAAAGCAAATATTACTAGTGCAAATGAAGGGTTTTTTTTTCCTAAAAAATCGCAATCATATCAACATAATATATTACACGGTAAAAGAAATTAGATTACAAGAACTGTGGTACCATATATCTAAGTTGATCAACGAAATCTCCCCTATATCCCCCCCTATATATTAATCCCGAACGCGCTGAGTCTACGTGGCTGTTTCTGGTGCTTCGAAATTCTATGTGACAAAATTACATGCTTCGTTATTAGGCTTGGATAAATTTTAATTTAATTCCAAACCAAAAATAATTAGGTTCGGATTACCATAAATATGTTGATTATTTATGGTCATGTTACATGTATTAATTGCATTTTAATATCATTCTTTATTATTAAATTGTATATATATTTTAAAAGTTAATAACTTTTGTATTTTTTATCAGTTTTACATATGTAATATATCAAATTAATCTTCTTTTGATGAGCTTTTAAAAGTTAATAACTTTCATATTTTTTATCAGTTTTACATATATAATATATCAAATTAATCTTCTTTTGATGAGCTTCGATTTAACATCCATATTGTATGTATAAAAAAATTAATTTATATTTATCTTTATAAAGATAATAAAATTATTTTTAATATTAATTAGAAAAATATAATTATTTATCAACTAATATATTTATATTTCAAGTAGTTATATGATATAAGTTATAAAAACTAATATAATATGTTGGAAATGGTGAAACCATTGAAAACAAAGCATAGAAAGACAACTCAAGAAATTTCTCAAACAATGCTAAAGGTTTGATATCATTAAAAATGTCTGCTATACAGCTGCTAAGGAATCAGGCTTTATAAAGCCTGTGCAACAGAGAAACCCTAAGCTACAACCAATTACATAGAGGCACGTGTACATGGCTATAACAGCACATGCAGTACAATGAATTCAAAAAATGGACTCGTTTTTACGTGTGATATTTTGTGTGTGTGTATTATCTTTATCATCCCCCCTCAATTTGAAGGAGGGACCAGGTAAAACTTGAAGCTTCGATTGTAGCCGACTGAAAAATTGTTGTGATAAAGGTTTTGTGAGTATGTCTGCTATCTGATCAATCGATGGTACGTGGAGTACCCTAAGAAGTTTGTTGGAGATCAAATCACGAACAAAATGAAGGTCGATTTCAATGTGTTTGGTGCGGGCATGGAGAACGACATTGCTAGCAAGGGAAATAGTGCTGAGATTGTCAATCCAAATGGTAGGTGTTTGCGGTAGCTTGACATGCAGTTTAGTGAGCAGTGATTGTAACCAGGAGATCTCAGCTGCAGCATGGGCTAGACTCCTGTATTCAGCTTCAGTACTAGAGCGAGAAATGGAGGGTTGTTTCTTAGAGCACCAAGAGATAGGGTTACAGCCAAGAAATATGCAGATGCCAGATGTGGATTTTCGGTCATCAATATCGCCACCCCAGTCAGAGTCAGAGAAACCATTAAGAGCTGCACTAGAGTGTCTTGTAAAGTGAAGTCCATGGTGCATAGTGCCTTTGAGATATCGAAGAATCCTCTTGACTGCTTTGAGGTGATTGTCCAATGGTGCTTGCATATATTGACAAACTTTGTTAACAGCATAGGCTATATCTGGTCTTGTTATTGTGGCATACTGGAGGGAGCCAACAATGCTCCTGTAGGTAGAGACTTTGTCAATGGGAGAACCATCAGTTTTGGAAAGGGCTGGGGCAGTGAGCATAGGTGTGCAGACAGCTTTGGCTTCTAGCATGGATGCTTTGTGCAGAAGATCCTTAATGTACTTAGATTGTGAAAGATGAATACCATCAGAGGTGGAGGTGACTTCAATTCCTAAAAAGTGGTGAATGAGGCCAAGATCTTTAAGAGAGAAGGACTTACTTAGTTGCATAATGACTTGTTGCACTGTATTGGGGTCACTTCCAGTGACAAGAATGTCATCAATGTAGACTAGAAGCCAGACAGTGGAATCCTTTTGGTGCCTGACATATAATGAGTTATCTGATTTGGAGTGAGTGAAGCCAAGAGCATGTAGAACAGATTTCAATTTAGTGAACCATGCTCTAGGTGCCTGTTTTAAACCATATAGAGACTTGGTCAATTTGCAAACATGGGAAGGAGAGTGTGGACTTTCAAAACCTGGTGGTTGAACCATGTAAAGATCTTCTTCAATGCTGCCATTTAGAAAGGCATTATTGATATCCAGTTGTCTAACAGGCCAGCCATTGGTGAGAGCTAGAGAGAGTACTACTCTTATAGTTGTGGGTTTAACAACTGGACTGAATGTCTCTGAAAAATCAATGCCAGCTGTTTGACTGTATCCTTTGGCAACAAGCCTTGCCTTGTACCTTGCTATAGAGCCATCTGCATGTTGTTTGATTTTGAAGATCCACTTGCAACCAATGATGGACTTGTATGGAGGAGCAGGGACTAAGTGCCAAGTTTTGTTTTTCATTAGAGCATTATACTCATTGAACATGGCTTCTCTCCACTGTGGATGAGAGAGAGCTTCAGTGTGATTGCTAGGAGTGTTAGAGGCAAGAGCTTCACTCAGAAATATTCTTGGTTTGAGGTGGCCAGTCTTGGACCTGGTGATCATGTGATGTGTTCCTGCAGCTTGATGATCAAGATTAGTAGGAGGGACAGAGATATTATCAGTCTCAATTGGCAAATTCACAAATAAATGGACTGTGGAGTGGCTGGAGTTGGGTGAAGTAGGGGAGTGAGTAGAAGATTGTGGTATTGAGTGTGAGGATCTAATGGGAGAGAGGTTGGTGTTGTTTGGAGGGGAGAAGGAGGATAGAGTTGGAGATTGAACAAGGGGAGGAGGATCAAGATGAATGAATTGCTGTGTAGTAATGAGAGAAGAAGTGGAAGAGGCAAGTTTGGTTTGGAAAGGAAACTGCAGTTCATCAAAGATAATATCCCTTGTGATTATGATCTTGCTAGAAGGAAGAAGAGCTTTAAACCCCTTGTGCTTAGAACTGTAGCCAAGAAATGTACTAGGGAGTGACCTGGGTTCAAGCTTATGCCTGTTATAGGGTCGAAGGTTTGGGAAACAAAGACAACCAAAAGTTTTTAAGTTTCCATAGTT